AAAAAAAAAAAAAAAAAAAAAAAAAAAAAAAAAAGAAAGAAGGAAAGAAAAGAAAGAAAAGGAAAGGAAAGAAAAGAAAAGGAAAGGAAAGAAAAGGAAAAGAAAAGAAAAGAAAGAAAAGCAAGAAAGCAAGCCAGGTACAGTGGCTCACGCTTGTGATACCTGAAATCCCAGCACTTTGGGAGGCTGAGGTGGGCGGATCATGAGGTCAGGAGATCGAGACCATCCTGGCTAACACGGTGAAACCCCGTCTCTACTAAAAATACAAACAATTAGCCAGGCGTGGTGGCGGGCGCCTGTAGTCCCAGCTACTCAGGAGGCTGAGACAGGAGAATGGCGTGAACCCAGGAGGCGGAGCTTGCAGTGAGCGGAGATGGCACCACTGCACTCCAGCCTGAGAGACAGAGCAAGTCTCTGTGTAAAAAAAAAAAAAGAGAGAATGAAAGGAGGGAATGAGGGAGGCAGGGAGGCAAGCATCTTCTTGTGGACTGTTTTTTTACTTGGTGATTTTTTTCCACCAGAATACTACATTGTGAGTTGCCACAGTTACTCACCTTTGGCTCTGCCTCAGTGGCGACCCCATGGCGTGATGTCCCAGATGCCTACTTGGCAAGCAGTCCTGATTGTGCAGTGAGCAGCACTACAATGACATCAGTGTAGTTGATTGACGGATGTCGTTTAAAGACAAACGTTTGCAGAGGTGAGTGCAGAGGGGTGAAAAGGACTTCCAGGGACAAAACCTTGAGATCCATCCTAATCTTTGACCAAGGCCTCGAATTTTTTTGTTTTTTTATTTTTGTGAGTGCATAGTAGGTGTATACATTTATGGGGCATATAAGGTATTTTGATACAGGCATGCAATGTATAATAATCATATCGGGGGACCAGGTGTGGTGGTTCACACCTGTAATCCCAGCACTTTGGGAGGCCGAGGCGGGTGGATCATGAGGTCAGGGGTTTGAGACCAGCCTGACCAACATGGTGAAACCCTGTCTCTACTAAAAATACAAAAATGAACTGAGTGTGGTGGCACATGCCTGTAATCCCAGCTACTCGGGAGGCTGAGGCAGGAGAATTCCTTGAACCTGGGAGGCGGAAGTTGCACTGAACTGAGATAGTGGCACTGCACTCCAGCCTGGGCGACAGAGCGAGACTGTCTCAAAAAGAAACCACGTCAGGATAAATGGGGTATCCATCTCCTCAAGCATTTATCCTTTGTGTTATAAACAATCAATTTATACTCTTTTCGTTATTTTAAAATGCACAATTAAATTCCTATTGCCTATAGTCACCCTGTGGTACTATCAAATACAAGGTCTTTTTTTTTTTTTTTTTTTTTTTGAGACAGAGTCTCACTCTGTCGCCTAGGCTGGGGTGCAGTGGCCACATCTCAGCTCACTGCAAGCTCCACCTCCTGGGTTTACGCCATTCTCCTGCCTCAGCCTCCCGAGTAGCTGGGACTACAGGTGCCCGCCACCTTGCCCGGCTAGTTTTTTGTATTTTTTTAGTAGAGACGTGGTTTCACCGTGTTAGCCAGGATGGTCTCGATCTCCTGACCTCGCAATCCGCCCGTCTCGGCCTCCCAAAGTGCTGGGATTACAGGCATGAGCCACCGCGCCCGGCCTACAAGGTCTTATTCATTCTTTCTAACTATCTTTTGTACCCGTTAACCATCCCCTTTCTCCCACCCCCTGCCACCTACCCTTCCCAGCCTCTGGTAATTATCCTTCTATTCTCTGTCTCTATGAGTTCAATTATTTTATTTTGTTTTAATTAATTAATTAATTATTTAGATGGAGACTTGCTCTGTCACCCAGGCTGGAGTGCAGTGGCATGATCTCGGCTCACTGCATCCTTCACCTCCCAGGCTCAGGCCGTTCTCCTGCCTCAGCCTCCCAAGTAGCTGGGATTACAGGCTCCAGCTACCATGGTCGGCTAATTTTTGTATTTTTAGGAGAGATGGAGTTTCACCATGTTGGCCAGGCTGGTCTTGAACTCCTGACCTTAAGCGATCCACCTGCCTCAGCCTCCCAAAGTGCTGGGATTACAGGTTTGAGCCAACACATGTGGCCTGAGTTCAATTATTTTAATTTTTAGCTCCCACAAATAAGGAAGAACATGCAAACTTTGTCTTCCTGTGCCTGGGTTATTTCACTTAACAGAAAGAACTTCGGTTCCATCCATGTTGTTGCCAACGACAGAATCTCATTCTTTTTTATGGCTGAATAGTACTCCATTGTGTATAACTACCACATATTCTTTATCCGTTCATCTGTCGATGGACACTTAAGTTGCTTCCAAATCTTGGCTACTGTGAACAGTGGTGCAATAAACATGAAATGCAGAGATTTCTTTGATAGACTGATTTCCTTTCTTTTGGGGATAAATCTAGCAGTGGGATTGCTGGATCATGTCATAGCTCTATTTTTAGTTTTTTGAGGAACCTCCAAACTGTTCTCTATAGTAGATGTACTAATTTACATTCCTACCAAGAGTGTATGAGGGTTCCCCCTTCACATCCTTGCCAGCATTTGTTATATTGCCTGTTTTTTGGATAGAGCTGGAATTTTTTTTTTTTTTTTTTTTGAGGTGGAGTTTCACTCTGTTGCGCAGGCTGGAGTGCAGTGACACGATCTCGGCTTACTGCAACCGCCACCTCCCGGGTTCAAGCAATTCTCATGCCTCAGCCTCCTAAGTAGCTGGGATTACAGGCGTGTTCCACCACGCCTGGCTAATTTTTGTATTTTTAGTAGAGACAGGGTTTCACAATTTTGGTCAGGCTGGTCTCAAACTACTGACCTCGTGATCCACCTGCCTTGGCCTCCCAAAGTGCTGGGATTACAAGCGTAAGATACTGCACCTGGCTGGGATTAGGGCGGGCTTGCTTGCTTTCTTTCTTTCTTGCTTTCTTTCTTGCTTTCTTTCTTTCTTTCTTTCTTTCTTTCTTTCTTTCTTTCTTTCTTTCTTTCCACCACGCCTGGCTAATTTTTTTGTGGTATTTTTAGTATATAATTTCAAGTACTTACTAGCTGGTCTCAACTACAGATCTTGATCCACCCGCCCACCCCCAAAAAGCGCCGACTACGCCTAAAGACATCACTCATACCATCCCTTTCTTTCTTTCTTTCTTTCTTTCTTTCTTTCTTTCTTTCTTTCTTTTTTTCTGAGACAGAGTCTCACTCTGTTGCCCAGGCTGGAGTGCAGTGGCACAATCTTGGCTCACTGCAAGCTCCGCCTCCCGGGTTCACACCATTCTCCTGCCTCAGCCTCCTGAGTAGCTGGGACTACAGCTACCCACCACCATACCCGGCTAACTTTTTTGTATTTTTAATAGAGACCGGGTTTCACTGTGTTAGCCAGGATGGTCTCGATCTCCTGACCTCATGATCCGCCCGCTTCACCCACCCAAAGTGCTGGGATTACAGGCGTGAACCACAGCACCTGGCCAGGTTTTTTTTTTTTTTTTTTTTCATAGGATAGTTTATGTATATTTATTCAGGAAGATATAATATCAAATATCCTCTTCCATTGAAGTAAAGTATGTCTAGAATAGTCATCACAAACAGGCTTTTTTAAAAAGAAAGAAAGAAGAAAAGAAAAGAAAAAGAAAGAAAGAAGGAAAGAAGGAAAGAAAGAAAGAAAGAAAGAAAGAAAGAAAGAAAGAAAGAAAGAAAGAAAGAAAGAAAGAAAGAAAGAAAGAAGGAGGGAGAATTAAAGAAAAGAAAGAGAGAAAGAAAGAAAAGAAAAAGAAACAGGGTCTCACTATGTTGTCCAGGCTGGTCTCAAACTCCTGGACTCAAGTTGTCTTCCCACCTCGGCCTCCTAAAATGTTGAAATTACAGGCGTAAGCCACGACACCTGGCATAAACAGGCTTTTAAAAATTTATGCAGTATCTCTAGGAGCAACTGAATGCTGATAGCAAACCAAAGCAACCCTTCAGATTTACAAGCCTGGCCACAAAGAGCAAAGAAGTGCTCTCAATTTCTCCCCCAGCCTAGAAGCTTGCTGTAATTCACAAAGAGAATCCAATGAAAGATGTCAACATTAATAACAATAATATCTAGAATTTATTGAGTGCTTCACTGCATGTCAGATATCGGGCATCTATTGTATGAAACAGCTTCTATTTTTATCTATTTTATGAATGGACTCTCTGAAGCTCAATAGCTGTTAAAGAGGAGTTAAATGTATTTTTAGTAGACACTGTATTCGGTGTCCTGGGGTTGGTAAGTGGCTGAGCAGAGGCTGAGCCTGGGCAGTGTGAGCCCCAGGCCTGCGCTTTTAACCACGTCCCTGTGCTGTCTGTTGAGGTCATCCGTTCCCAGGTATCCTGTGGTCTTTGCACCAGGGAGGAGGACGTGGGAGTATGGAAGTCCCGCTGTGGCCCCGGATAGGCTTACCTGCCTTCTCAGCCTCAGTTTCCTCATCTGAAAGGAAGAGAGTGGGTCAGAGTGACCTTAGAACACATCAGCCCTGACCCCCCAGGACCCTCCAATTTTTTTGCCTTTTTTTTTTTTTTTTAAAGATGTGGGGTCTGACTGTATTGCCCAGGATGGCCTCAAACTCTTGGCCTCAAGCAATCCTCCTGCTTCGGCCTCCCAAAGTGCTGGGATTACAGGAATGAGCCACTGCGTCCAGCCAACCCTCCACATTTTGGGGTGAGAACCAGCCCCTCACTTTGCAGCTGGGTAGCCTTCATACATTTTGGGGAGACAACAGGGGTCATGGCCATGGCTGGGCTGAAATGTAACTAAGGAAGAGGGAGTCTCTGTCCTGGAGTCCCCACTCTGCCTCTGGTGACACTTAAAACTCAAACCAGGCTGGGCGTGGTGGCTCACGCC